GGTGCCTCCCAGTGCCCCCTGAGGCTGCTGATGTCCCGGGGCTCGGCCCAGAGCCCGGCCAGGGGCTCACCTGCATGGCACAAGCAGCCGGGATGATGGGAGATGGGAGCATCCTGCATCACTCCCTGGAGTCAGCCCTGCTCCTCGCCCTGGCTGTGCACCCCCTGGCAGCCTGTCTGGGGGAGCAGAGCCCCCCGGGGGGCACACAGAGGCTTCAGGCACTGCCCTCACCTTTCCTCTCCAGGAGGACAACCTCGGTTGCTGCCGACTCTCCGGCGGCATTGTAGGCTGACAGATAGACCCTCCTGGTCCCCGTGGGCGCCGAGAAGTTGCACTCGGTGTGGGTGGTGTTGCAGACGGTGGGGGGGTCCCTGCCCCTCCTCCTGGGGCTCAGGGTGACACGGTAGCCCAGCACTTGCCCATTGGCCTCGTGCCGCCGTGGGGCCTGGGCACAGGGGGGTGTTGGTCCCCGCGGGGATGTCGGTCCCCGGGGTGATGCCCCTGCAGCCCCCGAGTGCCCGCCGCCCCGCTCACCTCCAGCGCGAGCTGCACTCCCACCGCCGCCCCCGACTGCCCCGGCCGCCGATGCCCCCCACCACGCGTCCAGCTTCCCTGAGGGGGCTGCAAGAGGAGGAGCTGAGAGGGGCCAGCGCGGCCGTGCCCCAGCGCTGTGCCGCCTGCCCGGGCACAGGGGACCCCTGGGGGACTGCACCAACCTTTCTCGTGGGTGGTGTAGTTCCTGCCCGGGCTCCACTCGCTCCAGAAGGCCAGTGCTGAGCTGCGCCGGCAGCGCAGCTGGAAGTGGTACCGTGTGCCGAAGAGGAAGCCGCAGCGCTGCGCGGTGCCAGCCCGGCCCACGATGCCAGTGACCTGGTGGCAGCCAGAGTGAGGGCTGTGCTGGCTCCTGCCTCAAGCAGGAGCTGGCCCTGGTGTGGGTGTGAGGGGACACCTTGTTGTCCTCCTCCCACACGAGCACCCTGCTGCTCCCACTGCTGGGAGCGCAGGGAGGGTCCCGGCTCCTGCCCGTCCCACCGCCCCGGCCGCACTCACCAGGCTCCAGGCAGGGTCCTCGGGTGCCCGGTAGCGCAGCTCACACTGCAGCTCCATGTGCTCCGTGCCCCGAGCCACCTCCCAGGCCAGGGCAACGCAGTCGGTCTGGAAGGGGATGGACTGGATGTTCCTCAGGGTTGGGGGGTCCAGCTTGGCTGGAGGAAGAGCAGGAGAGAGCTGGAGAGATGCCGTGGTGGGCAGAGCCAGGGGCCATGGCCTCACATGCATCTCTCGTTAATGCCAGGACCTGCAGCTGGGGTTCTGCAGCAAGAAATGGCAAGAAAGCACCCTAAACCATTTAGGAAAACAGCTTGTGGCAGGGGACAGGAGCTGGTGCATGTCCCTGCCTGAGATAGGACAATGCTCAGGAATGCAGCGCTGGCACTGCTCTGCATCAATGCCTATGAAGGGAAAACAGATTTCGTGGGGCTTGGTGTCTGGAAGACCCCACATTTGGGTTTGCCCACAGGTGAGTGTGGCACAGCCATGGGAGGGCTCAGCTGGTTCCTGGGCAGTCCCTCCCTGGGCCCAGAGCAAGGAGGATAAGCTGCTCCATCTGGAAAGGCTCCTTTTATAAATAGTTTATAGGCACTGGATCCATTATTAATAGACCTCCTGAATAAATGGGTAATCAATTGCTGGAGGAGCTGTGGAGTGCAGCAGGTCAACCGGCAGCTCATAACCCGCCGCACGCGCTGCTCGTGGAACGCGGCGCTGGCACCGCTTCATCCCGGCAGGACATCCATCACGGAACCCGCCCGGAAAACCTGACCTAAACCCCGACCTGCTTTAATGGCACTTTAATACCCCTGTCACCGCTGACGAGCTTCCCTGGCCCCTGTGCCGTCACTCACCGACGTCCATGGGGTCGATGCAGAGATGCTCTGACTCGGCCGTGCCCAGGGCGTTGGTGACAGACACCCAGATCTCCATCTCCCGGTACAGCTGGAGCAGCGGGCGCGGCACCGTGCAGTGGCTGTGCCCGCCTCGCGGGGTGCAGCCCGTCACCGCCTGGGCTCTGCTCCTGCGGCAGCCAGAGGAGTGGGCTCGGGGTCCCTCCGGCAGAGGCCGGGGCTTGGCAGGGGTTTGGCGGGGGGACCGCGGCCCCGAGGCTTACCCGGCACACTTCAGTGCCACGCTGGTGGGGAGGTGGCTGTCGGCTCCCTGCTCCCACTGGCACGTCAGCCCGTAGTCGCCGAGGTTCAGGACACAGCTGAGGTTGAGGGGCTTTGCAGGAGGGTCTGGGGGAGAGCGGTTGGGGAAGAGCCTGAGCAAGTGCCCATCCCGGGTGGGGAGGGGGGTGACACGTGGCAGCAGCACTTACAGCCCGCCCTGATCTCGGCCATGCCCACGCGCTGCTTGGTCCCGTTCCACTCCACGCAGCACCACAGCCTGGCCTGCGTGCGGTTGAACTGGGGCAGGGTGAGCTCGGACACCTCCGTGCCCCCCGGACCCTGGCGCTGGCTCCCAGCCACGGGCTTGTTGTCCAGCATCCAGCTGATCCGGACCTTCCCCGCTCCAAGCCCTGGCAGAGTTCCCTCTGGATGGTGCAGGTTGCTGTGACGGCCGAGCCCAGGGTCACAACGGGTGAGCCCACGGCCACCAAGGCGCAGCCCAGAGTCCCTGCAGGCAGGAAAAGTGTGTCACATCCTGGGCACGGCTTTGACAAAGCCAGCTCAGCTTCTTGGTGCCCAGGCAGGACAGAGGGATGAGCCTCTTCCCTCAGACGGGCCCCCCAGCCCTGGAGAG